AAAGAGCCAACTGCCGAGCGCAGAACAAAGAGGAGCCGGAATCAGGCACCCAGCTGCTGCATGTGTTCAGGAATGACACTAAGCGTAGCAAAAAAGCAGGCAGAACGTAAGCCTCTTCCTTCCTGGTGGGCGATGTCTCATGCAATAGGGCCACCGCCAGCACTGCACGCTGCTGGTGCGGTTCTCTCCCACGAATCATGGGAGAAATGAGCGCCCCAATTTTGAGCACAGACAGCGCAGCGTGACGAGCTTCCAAACGGGCTGCAGGGGCGGCAGGAGAGGGAGGTCGGGACCTGATGACCCAGTAAACCCTTCTCAGTTCTACTGCCCTGCTCTGAGGTTCAACCGGAGGCTTCTACCTCCTGTTTTCATCCAACGCGGCCCTCGGAAGAAAATACAAAGTTTCCTGTGAGGCTTCCCTCGGGTTTAAAACTGCAAGGGCAGCAGGCAGCTGAACCATGACGCACGCAGCCGTCAGATGTCAGCACCCGCCCCTGCTAGCAGGAACACGAAAAAGGAACAAGCCTGTTACTTCCCCGCCACATAAGGCCCTGAGCCTGTGGAGGTGACGGCACCGTAAGACACCACGTCTTGCTTTCCAGCCGGGTTAAGAAGTCTGCGCAGCTTTGGTGGCCGACAGCAAAGTCGGGCTTTGCCTCTGACGTCCGGCTGCCCGGTGGCGCCAGCCCGCTCCTCACTGACAGCAGCAATTCCCCTGAAGCCTGCGGACGGCCACACACGCACGCACGCACACACACACACTTTTAAGTCATGCTTGCATGCTTTTCTTCTGTACCCATGAAGGTGAGAAACTGAATTATTTCAGGCAAAACCTGAAGACGTCACAGAATGGCTTGTCTCCAGATGGTATCCAGAAACTACAGCTTTAAAATAAATACCGTGTACAGGAATCTTAATAAAATGTCAGAAGTTGCCAAAATCACATTAATTTCCAGGCTTGTCATCAGCATATCCATTACCAGTCCAACATTCTCTCTTCCTTAATTTAATCCAGCTAGTTTACTGGCTCCCACCTAAATAGGTCCTCATCTGTCTGGTTGTTTCCTAGTAAACTCTTTTAGATTATGCCCAAATTGTGATGCTGTCTTTGCTGCAGAGCAACACTACTGGGTCATATTCTGCACTTTAGAAAAAGACCATTTAGCCACCGCTGGTACATACTCTGCAGGAGCTCTCCTTAAAAATTTCCCAGCTTTGAAAGAAGAATGAATTGGTGTTTGCACTACACTTTTTCTGCAGCTACCTGAGACAACAAATAGGAAAAACTCTTTTTTTTAGTCCAAATCATAAATTTAATTGCAGAGAGCAGGCAAGGAGAAGGTTTGTTACTGCATACTGGGAATCATCTTGTGTATGATGGTGTATGTTCTTTAAGATTTTCCAACTAAATATTTATTGTATGGATGTCCACAACAAATGGTAGGTGGATGAGAGTCTTTTCTAAAGTTATGTTCCCCACTAGTCCAATGCAAAGCATTGTCTTCCCATGTCTCATCACCCCATAAGTCACTAGAACATAAAAGCTCAACCATCAGCATGGAACCTGCAGAACAGTCTGT